AGAGAGAGAGAGAGAGAGAGAGAGAGAGAGAGAGAGAGAGAGAGAGAGAGAGAGCGCTGAGTTCTGAGTTCCTGGGCCCCTTGTTTCTTTAGCTTACTCTACCTATCCATCCTCACCAAAGAACTGAGCATGGACAGGGAATATCCCAGCTGTAACTCTCAACTGTCCTTTTGTCTTTTCTTAGGCAAAAGAAATACTTTTGTAAGGATCTTTCTCAAAGCTAAAAGGCTGGCTTCCAATTCGTTGTTGAAAGAGGATTCAGTTTTGGCTGCTTTAGAAAGCATGTAGTCCAGAGATTAGAGGTATACACCATCACAGCTGCCAAAGGTTTTAAGTGATGTAGTCAGCCGGGCGGTGGTGGCGCACGCCTTTAATCCCAGCACTTGGGAGGCAGAGGCAGGCAGATTTCTGAGTTCGAGGCCAGCTTGGTCTACAGAGTGAGTTCCAGGACAGCCCGGGCTATAAAGAGAAACCCTGTCTCCAAAAAACAAAACAAAACAAAAAGTGATGTAGCCAGAGAGGGCAATGTCTTAGTGCCTGGGTGAAGAGAGTCCTAATTAAGAGCTTAAATAGTACTGTTATCAATAGGATGGAATTCTGTATGGAACACTCAGATGCCTCAAAACACCAAAGGATAAAGGTTAGGGGGCTTCACAGGGGGTTTCGAGCAGGGACCTGAGGATGAATAGGAACATGTATGTTTAGTGAACGCCCAGATTTGTCTCTACCTATGACAAAGAACCATGGGTATAGGGGCAGTGGGAGCTTGGGATGTTTCTGGGGGACTCTAAAGCTAAAGATTCACTAAAGATGGCTTCCTAGGTCAATCTTCAATTGTGTGTGTGTGAGGTGAGGGGGGCAGAGAAAACCAGGTGTAGTGGTCCACATCTTTAATCCAGCAGTCTGGAGGTAGAACTCAGAATTCTAGGCTAGGCAAGGCAACACGTGAGACCCTTGTCTATCTCAGTTTTAAAAAAAAAAAAATGGTGTGTGTGTGTCTGTGTGAGCTTCCTTGGTAATTTGTGACTTTAATCCCAGCAGTTGGGGAGGAAGAGGTGGGATCCAGTTGTTGACTCTGAACATGGTAGTTGGAGGGCCTCAGAATCTGAGATCCACTGTCTGGAACAATGTCTGACCAGAGTCGAGCCTCCAGTTCTTTTTGAGACAGAGTTTCTTGTCCCAGTCTAGCCTCAAACTGGCTATGCAGCCTCCCATAGTTCTGCCTTCTCTTGAATTCTGTCATGATGGACATGCACCACTGGATTACACACACCTACCTGATGTATTGCCATGCTGGACAAGCACTCTAACACCTGACACCCAACTCCCAGGCTTTGAGCTCTGACCTCTGTCTTTTTTCTTCCACAGACTGTAAACTCATGTGACATCCTGTAAGTATGGTACTTTGTAAATAATTGTCAGTAAAGGCAGGGGGGATGGGTGAGTGCTCAGATTCTGCCCTGGATAAGGCGACAGACACTTACTTCATGACTCCTTTGCTGAAACCATAGCCCCTCTCACCTAATCCAACCTAGGGATTTGCAGGTCTGTAACTGCTGCTAATCCTCAACCTTTCATAGCTGGAGAGGGAAGTCAAATGAGCAATGTCCCACTCCTGCCTCCCATGTAAGATCAGCATCCTGACCATTCTGCCTGAGGAACGATGGCACACTGCCCTGATGAATCTGAACTCAGGTCTCAAGTCCAGATCCTAATTCATCCCAGTGGACCTAGGATGGATCTGTACCCCACACCCACTAAGGGAGGCTGGCAACCTGAGGGCCTAAGTGTCTAGGAAAGCAGGGACCCTTTGGTTGGACACACTGATGCCATTAGTTTCTCACCATGTCCGTTTGTCCTTCTAGAAACTGTCCCAAAGGATTCAGATGCTGTGACAATGAATGCTGCCTAGAAAGAAAGGTCTGGAAATCTGAAAATGCACCCTTCTGGTAAGCCATGGTCACCAGTTTTAGGCATCCTTCACTGAGGGCTGAGTCCTCCTGAAATAAGGTGGGGGAGGTATGGTAATGGAGTATGAACTAGGCACTTATCACAAACCATCCCCAAACTTCCTAGGATCCTGTTCCTGATCTTACTGGTCCTGTTACTCCTTTTGTACTTCTGTGGCCTAGTGGGGTACTTTTGTTCCAAGAACAGAGAACTCCAGCATGAGGTCAGAAGAGTGGATCATCAGACACCTCCAGAACCCCCCTCCATTGCTCCCCTAGAGAGCATTTGTGTCACCTGCTTGGATTCTCCACCACCCTACTTTGAGGTGGGTCTTTCTGTCCTAATACCTGATGTGTTTCATAGCTGGCTGTCCACAATGTGGAAATAATGGATGGGGGGCCGGAGTATAAGGGATTGGGGAGGACTCTGCCAACCATATGTGTCATTGTTCACCCAGACTGTAAATAAAACAAGTACCCCTTTTCTCCATCAGGTTGTTCAGATGCCACCTCCCACAGAACCACCTCCTCCCTACAGCCTCAGGCCTGAGGTTCCTTCTGTCCAGATGAGAGGGACTGGCTATGCAACGCTTTGAGCTACCTTGCACACAAACCTCTTGGATCAAGCCCACGACCCTGGAATGACTGCCTACTGTATCATGTCTCTTGTCCTTTGATTTAATTTATAGTTTTTACATACCACTGGCCTCCTGCCCTTTTGTCTTCAGAGCTGACCTGGATCCATGGCCTCTGTCCTACACTATAGCTCCTTGAAATTTTGGAAGATTTGGGGGTACCTTTATTAGATGTAGAGAGATCATTGCTAGTGGACTGTCATTCTTGACTGGACATCTCCGTCAGCCATCCTACAGAAGCACTTCTGTTTCTGGAAGAGATTGAAGATTGAGCTGCACAGACTCTGAGTCATCTTCCAACCATACCTGGGCAGAGAGGACCTCGCTGGACCTCTATAGCAATGCAAACAACACAAGCACTGAGTTTCAATGGCTGGCTGCTAAGTGCTGATGAAGACAGACTCAGAGGCTAAGGAAACACTTGCAGCTTCTTCCAGTGGTGACTGACTGACTGACCCCCTGCTGGGAGGACTGAGCATCCAAGAGGGGAATGAATGTTAGAGGGAGAGAAGTGGATGCTGACAGGAGGGTGCCCTGCAGGGAAAGGAATACAGTCATGATGGAGGCAGGGTGGGCAGACAGGTGTCTGTGTTGCTGTGGGTGGCTTTCAAAATAAAGTCCCAGAGCTGGGCTTGTCCCTGAAGGAGGAAGTCACCTCAGCCTGCTTGTCACTTAACTGATAATGGTGTAGGGCTATCGATTCAGTGTCATGGCCTGCATAGTGTGGCTTTTCTGACAGTGAGTGGATGAAATTTTTTTTGGGGGGGGGGATTTCAAGACAGTGTTTCTCTGTATGTCTCTGGCTGTCCTGGAACTCACTCTGTAGACCAGGCTGGCCTTGAACTCAGAAATCCACCTGCCTCTTCCTTCCAAGGGCTGGGATTAAAGGTGTGGGCCACCACTGCCCAGTGAAATATTTTATTATAATTATAATGTTCATCTGGGTTCTGTAGGAGTCAGATCCTAGAACTGGTGTCCCTGATGGTTATGAGCTGCCACGTGGGAGCTGGGAATCGAACTGGGGTCTTGAAGAGCAGTCTATGTTCTTAACTACTGAGCCATCTCTCCAGTCCCCTGAGTGAGTTTATTCCCACTCCAGTGTAGTTACTACTGTGGGTGAGAGTCAGGTTTTCAGAGGTGACTTTGCACTGTCCATTCTTATAAATGTGTTTATTTATAATACCACTACTCTAGTCTTCCTGTCCTGGGAATCCAGGATGAGTCCAGGTGCAGTGACACTTCTAAGGATAAGCCTGCAGAAAGACCACATACCAAGCTCACAAAGATGCAGATGTGCTTCTTCAGGTGTACTGGACCTTGGGGCGTGAAACAATGGTCCACCTCCATTCACTATGGGAGCTTGTCCTGTCACACAGGCACCCACACTGAACACCCATCCCCTAAGGATGAAGGATCTGTAATGGCAACCTACATCGTGTCTGTCTTATAGGGAGAAAAGAAAAGTTTTGTAAAATAAATCATTATATTGCTATAAATCTATGTGTTCCTTTGCATGTCTATTAAGGTCTAGAAGAGCTAGGTGCTGTGGTGTAGTCCCAAGTTTGTCAGGAATGTGAGGCAGGAGGATTGCATATCTGAGTCTAGCCTGAGGTACCATGAGTTAAAGTCATGGTGGGAAGAGTGGCTGAGAATATTGCTCAGTGGTAGAAAATTTGCCCAGAATGTGCAAGACCGGGAGTTCAGTCCCCAGTTGCTGCCGCAACAATTCTAGAAAGGTCTGAGAGCTACTGGGAGCAGAAAGCACATGCCCAGCTGAGAAGATTTAAAAAAAAATCTCATGACAGGGTTTTTCTGTGTAGCCCTGGCAGTCTTAGACTCCCTCTGTAGACCAGGCTGACTTCAAACTCAGAGGGATCCACCTGCCTCAGCCTCCCCACTGCTGAGATTAAAGGTGTGCACCACCACTGCCTGGTTTAAGATTTTCTTTCTATTCTATATTAGTGTTTGCCTGTGTGTGTATCTGTGTACCAATGTGCATGCTGTACTCTAGGAGGCAGGAGTGGGCATCAGATCCCCTGGAATTTGGGCTCCAGACACTTTGTGGGTGCAGGAAATTGATCATGGGTCCTACGAATAGTGGCCAATGTTCCAAATGCTAAACCATCTCTAGAGCTCAAACTGTATATTTTGTAATGTTTAGCATTGCTTGAGGCTTTTTTTCTCCAATTAACAAGTCTTGCTTTTGGAAATTTGGTGTATGTGTTTACAGAAATTTTTATGGGCATATTTAATTTACAAAGATCTGGGGATACAGCTCAGTGGTAGAGTGTCTAACATGTTCATGGCTCCAGGTTTAAACATTAGCACCGGAAAATACACACTATGTCAAGTTTGATCCATGATGATTGGTATAGTTTCCACCCCTGTTATGAAGACAGACAAGTAAGACTGACAGGTAGCACAGATGGCATGTATGCCATCCTGAGGAATAAGTTAGCAGTGTCCATGGAAAGGCCCAGATGTCTGGGGACACAGGAAAAACATTGGTGCCCATGTTTTCAGCCTCTGAGACTCATGAGCTCTGGGTACAGCGTGGATGAGAAACTGAGCTGCAGCATGGTTAGCTGTGGGCTGGGTGAGCTGTTTGCCTGTGACTGAGAAACCATCCTTTATGGAGAATGAGCAGATCAAACGTGTGAATGAATGATGAGAGACAGTGGGTGAAGGAAGCAGGAAGTTTATGTGTGTGAGGGGGTGAATGAGATCTGCCTCCAAGTGCACAATCTTGCAGCTTAGTTGGCTCCTAGGAGCAGCCCTTTGACCTGGGAATAGGGTCTCCTTAAGAGGAGTTCCTCAAGGATGTTGGGGAGACACACTGAGGAGAGCTAAGGGAGCATGCTCCAGGGACAGAGGGAGGAGGAACTGGAGCAGCTGGGCAAGGGGAGAGAGGACAGCAGCAGGAAGGGCTGAGATCCAGGGCTCTCCTGGTTACTTCCTGCATCAGACACCACCAGGTCTGTTTTCCCACTGTGCAAGGAAAAGATTAGCCCCTTCCCAAGACTCTGATAGATTTTACATCCCTCCCTCCCTATCTCTGACCTCTCTCTCTCTTTGTTTTTCAAGACAAGGCTTCTCTGTATAGCCCTAGCTCTTCTGAAACTCACTCTGTAGACCAGGCTAGCCTTGAACTCAGGTCACCTTAGTCTGCTCCCTCAGTACTGGGATTAAAGGTGTGTACCACCAGGCCCAGCTAAGACATACCTTTTTGATTCCGTTTTGAGAAGAACTGTGTGGGAGGATGTGGCTGTCACCTTAAGCCCGGCAGCTTTTCCTGTGCCCCCCTCACTCCTGTCAACTTGACACAATCTAGACTCCTCAGGAAAGTCTCCACTAGGAAATACCTCTGTACAACTGGCTGTAGGCAAGGCTATAGGGCAACAAAACAAAACAAAACAAAAACAAAAAACCGTGATTGAGGGCCCAGCCCATTGTGAGTGAGGTCACCCCTGGGCTGGTTGTCCTGGGTTCTATAAGAAAGCAATTTGAGCTTGGCATGATGGTACATGCCTTTAATCTCAGCACCAGGGACAGAGGCAGGCCTTTGATTCTGTGAGTTCAAGGCCAGCCTCAAAGGAAGTGTTCTGGGACAGCCAGAGAAACCCTGTCTGAGGGGGAGGGCAGTAGAGAAAGTGTTAAGTTTCAATGCTGGGAGAAAGGGCTGAGGTGCCTATTTAACATATTAAAGTGGACCTGGCCTCCAGGCTCTCCCAGCATCCCTTAGTCCTTACCTGTTACCTGGTATGGCTGGTACCCAGCCCTCTGCCCTGAACTCTGCTGCACAGAACTGGGCTGCCCTTCCTCCAGATGTTCTTCCTTATATAATTCAACCATTTTAGTTACCAGATTGTTTTGTACCTTTGTCCTCTTGGCTGATTCACCTATTCCTCCTCCTGTCCTGTGTTGGTGTTCTGCTCCCCTGTTTCTGTCACCAACCCCACATGGCTCAGGGTCACTGTGACTCTGGACTTTCCCAGATGTTCCTGTCTCTGTCTATGCTTTACTTTTTGTCTGTAGTGGACTTCCTCCTCCATCATACCAGAGACGGGGGTGGGGGGAGGGTGAGGGGGGAGGAAGTTGGAGAGAGAGAGAGAGAGAGAGAGAGAGAGAGAGAGAGAGAGAGATTTGAAAAAGCCCAGTTTGCTGCACCCCACCATGGCCTCTGCCATCAGCTCCTTCCTCCAGGTTCATACCCTGTCTGTGTTCCTGTCCTGACTTCCTTCAGTGGTAGACTATAACATGGAGATTCAAATCAAATAAACCCTTTCCTCCCAACTTGCTTTTGGTCATGGTGTTTCATCATAGCAATAGTAACCCTAACTGGGACATCCTCCTAACCTCCCACCTCTCACTGTGGGCACCATCTGCTGCTATGGTCCAAGTGAGTCAACCTCCATACTGTCTGTTCTCCAAGACCTCCAGACCCCCACCTTAATGCCTTGAGAGTCAGCTTGCTTATCTCATTGTAACTACAACTGTCCAGCATCTAAAGTCTTCCTGACTCTTCCTCCATCCTGCTCATCTAGGAAGAATCCAAACTCTGAATGAATCGGTTTTTTTCCAAGAACCAGCATACCTGTGTAAGTAGACTCACTTTCAAATCCAGCCCAGGTGTCCCCCGAGGCACCCACTCCTCCAACACACTCCAGAGTCTCTCAAGGCAACTCGACCAGATGTGCCTTCTCAGACCTCTTGTACCCCAGTCTCAAATTCATCTTAGGAAAAGACAGAAGTCGTCTTGGCCTGATGGTGCACTTCTTTAGTTCCAGCAGTTAAGAGCCAGGAGTGAGCAGTTCTGGGAGTTTGAGGCCAGCCTGGTCTACACATCAACTTCAAGGCCAGGTAAGGCTATATATAGGACAACCCATCCTATCTCAAAACAAAACAAAACAAACAAAGGAAAGTATCTCACCAAGGCTACATAATTTCTGCCTAAGCCTGCA